ATTTACGAATCTCGAAGGCGACAGTTCGAAACCACGCGAGTCTCCGAGATTTGGGAGTGGTGATCTGAGAACGACTGGAAAATCAACGACTGCGTTGCCGCACTCCTTGAGGAAGTGGTGAAATGCGACGAAAATGCGAAGTGGGCAAGTGCGAATGTGAGGAAGTAGTAATAATCCCCAGAAACACTCGGCCACCGAACCCGGTCGAGAGTAGACAGTCTTGGCCTAACCCGGCCAGATGGAGAAACCCAATCGGACGACGAGAATCTTTCTTGAGGATTCCTCTTTGCAGGCAACGCGTCTCAGATGCTAATATGCTGCCCTGCGTTTCGATACCGATCCTTCTTACTGCCGATTTATTATGTCTGTTTCTTTAACTACAACCATCCAATTGACCGCGTTGAACGTTTTTCCTGGAGGATTTTCTCAAGAGTATGTCCTCCGATATCGATTCCCTTCCCCTATCAAATAAGACGATCATCAGTCGCCTTTCGACCTGATTATACGAACTGATCCTGTGTAGCAGGAAATCCTCCTTTCGTATTTACCGCATCTTCTCTGTATGCATACACGTAATTTGAAAAGTATTAGAACTTCGAAAATGATGTAAGTTAGATTGCTCCGAACGCGACCACAGCCACAGTACTTCCATCACTGTCTGAACGTCGTCCAACGAAGATGAAGGAAGCCTCTGGCTGAGGATGACTTGGAGGATTAATTAATGCATTAATTGGAGTTTCTGCCAAGTCCTTTCAGTCTTGCGTTATTGAGTATGTTCCTCTTCGTACTTTTATTTCGCACTTGAGCCATCGTGAATGGAATGATAGGGATTTGAAAGTGACACTTGTAGACCAGACATGGGGAAAACGCAGACACATTCCAGACTTTCCGAATTTATTAGAATTTGCGCATTTTCAACTTTTTTCTATTCATAATTCTACATCCATTTTCCCTCGCATTCTATTTTACCCTTTAAACATTTTATAACATTGATATTTTTCCGTTCGACAAAAAATTGTCGACGTCCTGTCCGAGATTGCAAAGTTGCAGATCATCGTGCCTGTGAGGTACTTGAACACGAGAAGAGTCAGGAGAACCAAAAGAAAGCCCCGTCGACACCGAACCTGGAGCAGCACGGGGTCGAAAAATCTTGCTGTCAGCAATTCATCACCTTCCACATTTCCTCTCTTCTACTCATCCAACCGGTGATACAGATGAAGCTGCCGAGCGATTACAATTCTAAGCTGATGCATCAACTTCGCTACTCTGGATGAAGTCACGGAGGAAGGGCTGCTTCCAGCTTGATATGCCATATTAATATGAATCCATATTGTGCATTTGGCTCGTATGATCCTACTTATCGGCGGTTTATACCGATTGCTGCCACCGTATTTGCTAGGAACGGTATGCATAAAAAGAACCCAGAGAATCTGATTTATCTACTGAATGAGCTCTTTCAGCATCCAATGACTTATGGTCTTGAATCTTGGTAAAGCATTTTAAGCGACCACGGGGAGAAGGATTAACGATGGACCATCAATTTTTTTCTAACTAAGGAATATTTAGTTGTAGTCACTATAAATTAAGAAAAGAGGAAAGTCACGTGGATGTCACAGAAATCTGCCATTAATAATTTTTGCTGATGTTCTTTGGAGCACGAGCAAATTATTATATGGATGAACAAAATTTTCAGGTTCGGAACATAAAAGAAACTGGCCCGACATATCTCTAAATCATGACAATTGTTCACAATTGTAGCCCTGTGACAGTTGTTCGCTCAGGCGTTTCTTTCCTGGCCTTCATTTCTAATATCACACCCATGGTCCTCGAACGTATCGTGCCTTTCGCTTAAATCATACTTTTTTACATTGACTCAAACACTGGGATGTTCCTCATGCAGGAGTGTATGAGTCAAGTGAGAAATCGTTTGACTCATGAGAAAAAACAGTATATAGGCGGTTGCCTTGGATGACGTACGTACAAGCTCAATGCCACTAAAGTATAGATAGATCTGTGCAATAACCGGAACAGTAGTCTCAGTGGGTTGGTTCGCATTCCACGCTGTCACAGCTTCACAGTATATTCAAAATACTGGAAGCAAAAAATGGATTCGCATGACGGAATCATGACTGATCTCGGGTGACCATAGCAAGAAGAGACTGCGGCGAGTGGGATATTTTACTCTCCCATTTCTCGTCCTTCCTTTTCTTTTGCCGACTCATGTTTAAAAAGAGTAAAATTTCAGAGTAAAAATTACCATGGTTATGAATCTGACGTTTACGATGGGAATTTTTCGTCTTGAAAAACGTTTGAATAGCTTGCTAGAGGCCAGCTACGGATCTGGGACGACTCAAGGCCTGTGCAGGCCTCTCGTGGCATGTCACGCGCGCGATGGTCGCACCACTTTTTATTTTCTCAACAGCGATTACTTCGTGGCGGGCGGCCAGAATGTTTATGCCTGTGTAACACTGTGATTTGCAAATGATTTTGCACTTCCTTTCTCATTGAACCAGTTAATTCTATCATGCTTGCCAGGGGGTGAGGACAATGCTTCTAGGGTGGTGGGCTATCTCACTTGGAAAACAGGCCCATGGAGACCAAGTTGCGCTGTTAGAATTCAATTTCGCTTCGCTGCAGATTCTTGTAACTCGCTGCTCTTGCAAGAGTAGAATGTCATATTCATCCTTTGAAGTTTTGCGATGGAGATGTTGGCTGGGTTACGTGTTGTCGAAAAGTCTTATTAGGCCTGAATTTTGATGCCCAATAGAAGTTAGTCTCAACTTCAGAGATGTGAAGTTTGACTCGTAAGCGATGGAGAGGTTGATGCAAATAATAAAGGACAATAGGCCTATTGGGTTGCCTTGTCTATGGAACTCATAAATATGGTACAATGCATAGTGTCAAGGTCTATCAATATCTACCCATCCTTTGAATGGTGAAGTGACCTGTTTAGATTTGACAGTACTGAACCAATCTGAGACTACAGCAAGTAAACTGCATATCATTTGCTGACCAAGTGAGTATGCAATTGAGACTTTTTACAATGCCATCAGCATTGATTTGGCTCAAGACAAAGTTCATTGACCCAGACCCATTGAAGTTTGTTTCTCTCATGGATCTACCTGGAATCAGAACAGGAGTATCATGGCAGTTCTCTTCCTTAGATGCCACAAAATGTTGAAATCAAAGCCAGCTACAATGGAGATCTGGAGGATATCAAGGCTGTAGCAAGGAATCTAGCAGGAAAGGAACCATTGGAGTTGAGCCAGATAGATACATTTTTTCAGTGTTCAACTGGACGATTGAAGTTGAGAGAGATAAAGGTAACAAGACTTGAAAAAAATATATATTTGAAGTTCTGAGATTTTCTCTTCATAAATAAACCTGTCACTTGAAGAGAAATCAGTGCTTTTTGTTTTGCTGCCTAATTTTTTTTGGGGAATCTCTATATAACCTTACCCAGTGATTTTTCATGATTGTGCCCTTGAACATCTTTGTCCACTTTGTAAATCCAGTTAAATCTGAACAAACTCAATGTGCTCCATGGTGTGCTTAATCCATGATAAACTTAGGTCAGTTTGGTAGTGGTAGTATTTCCCATTCATTTGCAGAATCATATTGATGAAGCATCTGTTAAATCAAAAATTATATTGAGAGCTGCACCAAGACCTAGGAGCCTTGTGGAAATTGCAGAGATTGAGAGAAATAACAAGCATAAAAGAGCTCACTGAGTTTTTCCTAGTTGCAAGCAAAATGAGGGATATCCTAGTGCACTTGAGATCTATACCTGTTAACATTCAACAATTTTTTATCCCAAATTGGTCCCTGGTAATAGATTTATCTGTCTCACTCCCTTCACTCACTTGTTCATGTCAACTTTGCTGTACATTGGAAGTGGCAAAATATTGTCTACTTGTGCATTTCTTATTTTATCTAGTCACTTTTATTTTTTAGTGAAATACATTGTTCCTTGCATGCCATCTTGTCATGTCATGTTTCATCAACCCTTTGATCAGAGTTGAGAGTCATCAAACCCCTGAATGACCCTCCTTGAAGCATTTGTATCCTTCTGGATGCACTAATTCTTGTGGCACCATTTATTTTTCCATGATGTGGATTATCTAAATTTATATTCTTCCTTGAATCTAGCCACTGTTTCGCAAAATTGATAAAAAGTAGGCATACACATCACTTCACAACGAAAACTTGTCCACAGTTGCATTAATTCTTTCTTCTGATAAGAATTAAGCATTGGGAATCAATCAAATGCTTTCAGAAACATGAGAGATTATAAAAAACACAATGAGATCTCATGTACGTTAAGTGCCTAATATTGCCAATCTATCACATGGCTGACTGACAAGTTCATGTAAGGGGAGGCTAAATGAAGTCTCAGACTTGCATGAACAATCTTACTGTATATCTTGCTTTTGAATGATCACTCAGATATGATAAACCATTTCTGAGGGATCACAGTTGATACAAAGTGAAGGAGAAGAGTAAATGTAAATAATACCTGCAAGAAGTTTCAGATGCAATTGGCAATGTCTTTTGGACCACAGAAAAATATGTAAAATATTTTTTCTTTTGCTGAAGATTTCATGTTTTTGAGAGCATCTTTTGAGTTTCCATGTTTTCCTTCAAAAAACACATAAATAGGGAAGTTTTATTTTGTACCTGTATTTCTGCATGAAAAAGGTCATGGTTTGGTAAAGATTCAAATTTGAAAATAAATTTTTAATTTATTTGTGCCATGGAAAGCCAAAGGACTACAAAAAAGTGCCTTGTATATGAACAAGGAGCTGTTTCCATTTTGGAGGTCTGTACTAGTAAGATTTTCTCTTTCATCTCCCTTCATAGGGTGGAGAGAAGCCAAGCCAGTTGATTGCATATGAACGTCCTGATGAAGTCGCTGCAAAGTACAGTGATTATTCCTTTTATCACCCAATGGATGCAGGGAGCTTGAAGCATGTCCTAACACGCTCTCTTGGGATCATTGGTGAAGTGCGCAAATCCCGTCTTGTGTATTTGGTGGATCAAACCCGCATTCATGTGGATCAAGTAGAGGGCCTTGGGAATTTTGTGGAATTGGAGGTGAGCTATTAAAGCAACCAGACCATAGTGAAATATTTGACCTGTAATGACCTGTGCCACAGTTGAAGTGAACTGGGGGTGATTGGTTATAGTTGCAGACATTGCTCAAAATTGAACAGTGTCCTAGACTCAGAATGGAGAGTGTGATGAATCCAAGAGATTTGCTACCATCTTCAGTGTGTCATTTTCTTGCATGTGTAGTACACAGAAAAGTGAACCCTGTCTTGGGTCCAGTGAAACTTTTTGCTAGATCCCTAAATGTTGCAGGTTTTTCTAACTTAGGGAATGCACGGACTGTGATGCTGGCAATCACCATCCCTGATGCTTCACCTCTTAAATGGAAAGTCAGATTCCCAGGTTTAAACCCCAATCTTTCACCTGATTTCACTTTTGATATGGAGTTCCAGAAATACATAGCTGCAAAGGATGCACAAAAACTCAAGGAAGTTCTCCCATCTTGGTGTGATTGGGAGAAAGAAAACCCACAAGCATTAAAATTATGTCTTGGGGAATTCCTACATCTCTATGGTGATTACCAGCGAGAGAAGCTGCAGGGGAATCCACAGTTTCATGCCTTGTTTGAGGCACTTGAGAGACTGAAGATTAAAGAGTATATTGTGAGGGAGCTAGACTGTGAAGTGCAAATAGGTATGATGCTGCCTGTGCCACGATTGACAGAATTGGCAGAAATTAGTCAGAATGCTAGTCATTTTGCTGAGCAAGAGAGTGTTGTTTGGATCAAATGCATTTCTGTGGGAGATGAACTTGAAGTCCAGAGTGTGATGCCTTCACCATTGGTGCTGGCTGCTCTTGGAGAAAGTGTTGTGGAATTCAGTAGACCCAGAACAGTTTTGGAATATTTCAGGACTTTTGTCCCACAGATGCAGAAGAAAGTTGAAATTTTAGTAGCCTCAAAGTTGAAAGCATTTGAAGTTTTGTCTGAACTTGGTAGTACATTTCCTGATCATGTTACTAGAGTTACCAGAGAAATTTCTCAAGGAACACTATCCATTTCTCTGAAGTTCCAGAGTTGCAACAGCAGTCTCACTTTTGATATTGCCATACCAAATGAATTTCCATTGAGGAAGCCCACTATAGTCAAACATGTGAAGGACACTGAACCCAGGGAGAGGAAGGTTGAATATGAATATAATCCTGGCATGTCTGGAGAAGAGATTGGAAGAGAGATATGCTACTCCATTGCCAGAATATTGGAAGAGTTGGACTGATGACTTGCTTCTTCACAGGTGGTGTTGAAGGATGGACAAACTATAGATGAAGGCAAGCTCATTGCTGAGGACTTGATGACAAAGCTTGGCATCCTTGAAGAAAATCTCATTCCTTGTGCTTACATGGATCTGCTCCTGGCAAAAAAATGAATCTGAGATCCCGGTGAAACATATCTTCTGTACTCTCAGAGAAAGAGCTGCAGTTCATTCTGCTCCTCTTCATGAGTGAATGTTGCATTTTCTTGGTTTATTTTTGCACATGTATGATTTTCAATAGGAAGTACATTTTCTACTGTCAAGCATGACTCTGAGTTCCTTTGTGATTCTGGTCACCCAAGCTCATGTAGTCACCTAACCTCAAGTCAGCATAAGGGTAAATTGAAGGAGTTCAGTAAAGGTGAAGTCATTGAGATAGCCAAATTGCTTAAAAGATTGGAGTCAATAAGAGCTGAACAATGGTGGTTTGAGAGGTGAAATTTCATTGTATTGGTTTTCTAAGTCAATTATAGCAATAAGAAAGTCAAATGTGTTGCAGTGCTGTATTGGAGCATCAGAAGCAACATAAGTAAAGTCAAATTTGTTGCACTGTTGGATTAGAGAATCAGAAGCATCATAAGGAAAGTCAAATGCAACAGTTGAATCTCTGTGTTATACCAGGAGACAGGTGCCCTTTTGTTGTATTTCAATTACACTCTGCTCCATGGACAAATTCACCTATGAATTTGTATGTGATGTTACTATTACATGTATTGTACTGGCAACACTTCACAGATCATGGAGAATGAATATTCTCAGCTGCAGTATGCTGTCATTGAGTGATTTTGTAGTGGATGAATTGAGTGATATGATGTAAACAGCCAAGTTGTCTAAGTTGTGACTAAGTTGTCATGAAATTGGTTGCCACATTTGATTTCTGTGTCTGATATACTATTCTTTAAAGTCTAGCATCCAGCAAGCATATCTCATTTGATTTTCCTGATGTCACCTTTGACTCCCATCCATGACAGCCACATTTGAATTCCATGTTGAATTTTACTTTCTTGCATGCATCTCAGACCTGGATTCTTGTTCTTGCTATAGAGAGCTTTCATTCTTTGATACAAAATCAAACATTGCCAGTATGATAACTGCAAAAGGTGAGGTCACATGTAGAATGGGCATTTGCAATTTTGCAAAATGAAACCTCGCATCACAGAAATGCAACGAGAGGGCACATATAGCCTGGCACGACCGAGGGACAAGTCCCTCGGTCTCACGACTGTCGCATTTGATTTTCCTTACGTCGCTTTTGACGCTTGCAACACAACGACGCATTTGACTTCTTTGCATCGAGCTGCATAGCGTCGGGGGGGGGTAAGGGGGGCATGTGCCCCCCCACTTTTCAAGAAAAGAAGCCAAAAAAAAAGGAAAGACCCAGAAATGCAGGATAACAGCATCTCAGAGTTCCCATGCCCCCCCCCGAATTTTTTCATCCACGCTACGCTTGTGCTTGCATCCATATTTAACCCTTTGCCATCATTTGACGGCGTACGCTGTCATGGCAGTAAAACCTATAAATATTAAAGTTTCTCTCCCTTTGCTTGAGAGTACATAGTTCAGGTAGAAGAGGTTCACCTTCTATCTCTTCATCTGAAACACGACAGTTCATTAGTAGCGGTTTAGTTGTGCAAGTTTGTCAGCTTTGTTACGAATTGTCCCCCGCCTCACTTGCTGTTGATAGTTGTGTGTTTTTATTTCGCTATATGGTACGCCGGTTAGCTATGTGGTGCAGACTCAGACGTTGGTTTCATAGAGGCATTGAGGAGGAAAGAGGCCTCTGCGGAAGGAGCACACAGTGAACCTCCTTTACTTTCCTAGTGTGTTTCTCAGGGTTTATCATTGTTGGAGTCTGACTGCCTGAGCGGTGCTTTTAATGGGGGTCGCGTAAATGAATGCAGAAACAATCTCCTCTTCAAGTGAGTGTTTCCATGAGAAAAAAAAAAAACATTCCACTACTAGGGGACAGATCCCGTAGAAAGGTGAGGACAGAGGAAGTGGGCTTTATGAACTTAAACTGAGGGCCTAAATATAAATACATATCCTAAAGGAGGGAAAGTGATGCCTACTGCTTGTCCCGAATTTCACCCACTAGAGGAATTTCTCAACGTCATTTATCACATGTAACCATCGACATCACTGCAGACCAATGGCAGCTCTTGATATGCAGCAGTGGTGGTCCTCTGCCTTCTCTGACGAACTAACATTACTACTGCTGTATATCACGACCCGCCACTGTTACAGACTGAGTCGTGCATATGAGGAACGTAATCCCAGTTGGATTGTACCGGACGTTTCAAAAGTTACCATCACAGTTCAGACGACCACACCAGGCATACCGATGGCCACATTGTGGTGAAAATTGACGTACAGACCGATTTGACCGTTGGGAAGGCAGTGCTCATTATAGCGACACCACATGGGTATGGGTATAAAAGCCATCGTTGCTAAACCCGAAGCGTTTTTCAACTATCCGATAAACTGGTCGAGCAGTCTTCATGTAAGATGGTGCTCCACTGTGGGCTTAGCGGCGGACCTCACCAGGGAGTGGAGGAGGAGCCACCCCCTACCGGACACCTCCCACCTCCAAGAGACCTCCCCCGGACCGGGACAAGGGGGTGGCCAGTGACAGTGTGGATGCGATCGTGTGACATTGTATAACGGTGTGTATTGTATGTCTGGACTGTATAGGGATCTGTAAATTATTCCCGTCGCCCTTGACTTATCAACTTCCCTCCTGCCTGGTGCCTGTAGACTATACGAGTGAGTTGTATACCGTCAATATATCCATTGTTATTGTTGCTGAACAGCCTAGTCCTTCCGAATCTAACCGGTACTTATCTAATTGGAGTCAGTCCGTATATAATAGGGCCCTTTTACGTACACGGAGAGCACGCGATCCCATTCGGCGGCCTCACCCACACCACCCTCACCCCCATTGCAAACCGAATGAGAGTTTTTCTTCGGATCACTTTCAGTGACCGTGTGATCAGCCGATACCTTGAACCACTTTAACACTCAGAACCGATTAACTTTGATAGTGGCCAGCAAGATCGCTTATCTCTCTCCAGCAGACTTCGGGCTTTGGGGTTAAACGATCAATGGGAAACGCACTGAACACATCTATGAACGCTTTCCTTCGACATCACGAACATGAATGTATTACCTTCGCCGTTGTCGAATCGATTCACACACCGAGTTTGGTATCCAACAGTATGCTCTCCATGGCCGCGTGAACAGTGGAAGTCGCTTCTGAAACGCGCGGCAATATTCGAGAGATGGTCATTCCGAAGTCGATCCTTCAACTTGCACGGCCGGGATACGAATTTCGAAAGTAGAATTGATCTTATTTGACGTGATGAATATTACGAACGGCCTTTCTCTTGGCCTGGTGGAACAGGCGGGATTTCTGTGCATCGGCTGCGTCGACATTTAAGGCGTTCCGACCCGATGGGCACGATTGTAGGGCAATATAACTGCAGACTCAGGACCCCCAATTAAATTGCGAGTTCGTCCACTGCCAGCTGATCGGATGGGAACGAAAATGCTGTCTCGGAAAATTGCAGGAGCCTGCGACTTTCGCCAGTTGCGTGGCTGTGAAAAGATGAGGGGGCGTTTAGTGCTTGATGCCCTAAATGGCCAAATCAGTCGATTAAAATTTGAAAAGCAGTCGTCATTCTTTGAAAGAATTGACTCGGAGATTTCTCTTTCTGGACACTGATGGTTATATATATATATTCCAAGAATGAATGAGGGGACACATCAACTCTCCACCAAATCTGGGAGAATATGGTAAAAACAAAGTCAATTTGATTCAGACCACAAAAGAAGACAAAATTCTTCACTGCTGCTCATCGCGGCGTTCCATGTAGTACAGTAGAGGGAGGAAAGAACCATTTGCGCAGTAAAACAGAAAATTCTAACATGTGAAGCACGAAACTCACGCGGAGAGTGTCACGAAGATCCTAATCTCTTCCGAGGGTCACTTTCTGGGTATTTTTCTGCTACTAATTTTACATGCCAGATTTTTGTCGGAAATTCTGGAGGGGGGGAGAAGACGCTCCTCAAAGTTTCACTCCCATTACGTGTGCAACTTCTGGTTTGCTTCAGCGTGGCGGCAAATTCCTGAGTGGAATTTCCTGGTTTGTGCATTCAGACATTCATTTCGAGCAAGATCGAAGAAGTTGGTTACAACCCCCCAGGGTTAGGCACCGGGACAGGTAATAGATCCTATGACGATGAGAGCCAACTCGCGAAGAAGCGCAGGCCTGGCGAAAGGAAACTCAGAGGCTTCCCTTGCGGAGTTTCTCCCACGTGGCTCCCATGCGCTTGAGGGCGATGAGGCAGTTCCGTCCTTTCCGCCACCGCCGCCGCACCACGTAGCGTTTCAGCTGGGCCTTGTTGAGATCGGGCAGGGGCTTCTCGCCTTCCGCTTTGGAAGTCCCCTTGATCCAGGCGTGCTCCAACGCTTCCCCGGGCATGAGGCGCTTGCTGAAACGTAAGAGCGATTCCTCCGATCGGTAAGTACTAGTTGTTCGGTGAGGCTTCGGTAGGAGTTAGTGGTTCGCTTGAAGCACCAGGGAAACGGAATGCGATACACATTCTGCGGATCTTAACCTACATCTATGCTTGCCATTTGTCTCTGTCGTTCTTCATTCTAACAGCAACGAAAAAAAAGAAACTATGGTATGAAGTAAGATATGAGAAACATTCCATGTATTTCGGTCGAGAACCTTCTCCAAGCACCGCCTACACCCTGACGTCAAAGCTGGAATCCAACAGGAAAGGGCATAGAATTATGTATAGACCCTAACCCCTTGCTCCGTACATCTAGGTTTCCACATGCGGATAGGCTCATCCCAAGAGACGAGAGGAGCAGGTCTCAACTGGGGAAACCTCCTCGATTCCTCTTACATTGCCGGTATTGCTCTGAAGGTGGATCGATGCTTTGTGCCCAAAATTATCAAAGATATCAGTAGCAGACACTACCGACCCGTGGTGGATTTTCAATAAGGGAGAAAAAAAAAAGAAGCAGACACCGATTGAAGTGAAGAACTACAGAAATAAATCATGGAGATAGCATCCGGAACACACACGTTTATACGCCTGCATCCATGCGGATGTCATATCCATGCTTGCAGTCATCCTGATGCACGTGAATTCCAGGGAATCCGTCCCTCTTCTAAGCCTCTTTCCCAAGCTTCTCTTTTATAGTTAAGTGCTGAAACCGGCCTTACTTGGGGCCAATTGACGGACTGAGGCTCTCCACATTTCACGCCCTCCGCGCCGAAATTCTTCCCTTCTCGTCTTTTATTTTTTCCTTGGAAGTCTCTTAGACTTCCAAGTTGCCTTCTCGCGGATGAGGGGTTCCTGGTCGTTTTGGACATTCAAGATTTGGAAATATTTACCACAGAGTGAATATTTTTATCGCTAGCTTTGCACGAAGCTATACCGATCTTTCGAGGCTTTCGAAGGCCATCGGGTTCGATGTGAGGGGGTACGCACCGCCATGGCGATTGCTTTTCGCGGCCTTGCCGGCCGGCAGCCAAAATAAACCACTAACTGCACTCATCTTCCTGAGCTTTTTTTTTTTCTATTTCGATCTTTGCAGTTTCCTGTATCTCCGTTAACATGCACATGGTTTGGGATATCCTAACGGTAAAGGGCTATATTACGCTGCTGTTCTTACTGAAAGGAACTCAGAATCACCAGATCAACGAGTTCTCAAATCAACGAGCTCTTTCTGCGGAAATGCAAATCCCCTTACGAAATTGTCTCATGCAGTCAAGACAAGCTTTGACAACACCATGCAAGCGAACATAAAATTAAAATGATACCTTACCTGGTTTATTAAGAGCATTAACTCTGAGAATAACTGAAAAGGCGAAGTTGTCTTTCTCTTTGAGAAGACTGCAGAACGTCTACGATCAACAATAATGATATTTTTATTTTAGGCACTTACGGGCACAATTTCGGGTTCGGGTTCAGTTTTCGAGAAATTCCCCACTACTGGCTATCTTAAAAAAAAAGCGGTTTTGAAATCAAAATTAGGGTTTTATTTTAAAATTTTCATGTAAATAGCTTCACTGAGACTTTTGACGGGGATGGAAGAGGTACGAGACGAACTGACTTCGACGAAACTCAACACCCCTTCCTGTTCCCGCCGCTGGATCCGTCTTTTCTTGGTCGACGGCGACGCGGTGCAGAGACGACTCGCGTCGGAGTCCACGCTGCAACTGGATTCGGCCGATCCCTTCCGAGCGCCGTGGAGGAAGGCGTCGCCCGTCGCGGACAGGGAGACGTGGATGCCTCTCAGCTCCTCCTTTATGGAGGAGAGGTTCACGGAGTGGCGGGGGCTCTCGCTCCATCGCACCACGAAGTCTCGCAGGTTCTCTTTCGCCTGGTCCAGGGAATCTCGTCTGCGAGAGGGATTCTTGCCTCGGGATATCCCTTGTATCCAAGGGTGTTTCAGGGATTCCTCCACCCGCATTCGATCCCTAGGAGAAAAAAAAACGGTCGAAGTTGCCACGGGGGTCGTGCGGTTGCTACGGTGATGCTTATGCCTGCCATCCGAATGAGTTCGTTGCGATACGATAAGTCCTACCCTACTACTACGATAAGTCCAACCCAGCAACCCGCTATGACTATGAATGGATCGGTTCCCAGCGTCTGCCAAGGCTAATGCTACATCTATATTTACCAGTCGATGAGAGTCGATCTGCGGTCACTGGACGAAGCACAATCCTTGCATGTCTTCTCTCATGCACGCATGCACTGGTCTATGATGCAACGTCTTGCGGCCATCGTGTCGCGTCGCCAAGGAGCTTCTGCGCGCAAATCTACCATGCTACTGGTACTGGTAGTACTAGGAAACACGGTGAACGAACAACGGTCTTTGGGGAAGGGTTGGTAAGATTCTTTTCTATCGGAAACAAATTCTGCTGCCATCGGAGTGTTTCGTTACTCGAGCATTGTGAAGTCGCTGCTTCATGCTTTCGGTGTTTTCATTTCCGCTTGGGAAATTGCACGATTGGGAGATATGAGTGCACTTATGGCCGTTATACGATTCGTGACTTGTGGTGAGAGTCACAGACTTGTGGTGCGATTTGGCAGGAAATTGCTGATATTGCCAGCACCGCAAGTCAAGCTCTATACTCGAAAAAGTATGACTTTCCTGTAGCGCATCCGTGTCATTATTTGTTAATCGAATCACGTTCCATCAACATACAAGAATGTAGCGACTACGTTTTAATGTGGAGAACTGTATTAGGGGAGGGGGGGGACCCGAAATCACCCTCCCGGATCTCGATAACGTTATGGCCCAAGAAAAAGATTAGGTGTACTGGCATGATACCTCTGGACAGTGCGAATTGAGTAAAATATAAAGTGAAGAGCAGGGCCAGATTACTTAATAGGCGAGCAAAACACGCACCTAGGAGCATCTCGTGAGGGGGTGGAGGCGGGGTCCTGGATATCGCGAAAAGCGGAATAGAAATTCACTGAAATGATGAGATTTCACCGTGGGCCAACCCTCCACCAGAACTTCTCCATCACGAAACCATGGTAATGTGGGGAGGGGGAAAAAAATGGGGGGGGGGGGGGGGGAATTGGCGCGCGTTCTGCCTAGGGGCGCCTGAAACGTTTATCCGACCTTGCTCAATAGGTGCTATAGCTTTCGAGAGTTGAGGGAGTGGGAGGAGGAAGAAAAGAAGGGTAGAATGGGCGGTTCGGCCCCCCAGGTCAATTAGTAAACATATGAATCAGTAAACAGACATCTACTTTTTTTTTTAATATCTATTTACTGTCGCAGAGATAATAGGAATGTGGGAGAAGCACAGCCCACTTGAACCAGACACACATTATCGCTTCCCCAGTCCTTTCTGGGTCTCGTCGTGTCCCTGTTCCTCAACCGCAGGCGTGTCCGAAGTGAACCTCTGAGGTTCATAGTACACACGAGGTCGCCCACGCTTCCGCTTAGGTTCAGCGACGGAGACACTGACCTGTCGATCGAGCAGTGATGCTCGAACAGTGATGCTCGAAGTGCGGCCTGCTCGATCGAGCCGAGGGCTAATTTTTCTTTCGCTTCCTGCAGGTTGTGTTTTTTTTTCCCACCTTGTCAAAAGAAATGTGGCACAAGAATAGATTTCTCGGTCTCCTCTCTCGTCAGAATCCCATCGTTGTCGACGCATGGGAGCTTGCGATTTCCCCCTTCAAAATGGTTTCAGTCATTCCTTGCACAAAATCAGATTTACCTGGTCTGCTCTTGAGAATGCAGGGGACGAGCTTGAAATCACATGCAGGGGGGAAAAAAAAATGAAGACGAAGAAATGACCTACTCCTTCTTCTTGATGAGGAGTTTTCTGATGAAATCCTTCGCGTCTTCGGAAATCTCGTCGAACGCCGCGTCGTTGAAGTCGTACTCGGCGATCACGACGTTCGACATCGTCTCCATGTCGGTGTCGCCCATGAAAGGGGACAGTCCCGACAAGCTGATCGGGAAGATTCCAAGCAAAACAAAAATAATGAAAATAATTATCTCTTCTTGAACCCAAAATTAAACCTGAATTAAACCAGAGTAAATGCTAATCCTTGCCATTTGTAAAGCGAGGATTTCGGATGGTTAATTAACGCCTCGTTACGAAAGGACTTTCAATCGTCTCGAAAAGAATTGCATATAGATTGGGAAGCATTTAGTGGTGGAGAAAAAGAAATTTCTGGCGCTCAACACTGCATTCAGCGGATTTCTCAACATTATTTCTCGTAAGAGGCTGCAAACTGGTTTAAAATCCTGGCTGGAACTTCCCAGCTGGAATGCAACTGGTTTTAATAACTATTTCCAGCTGGAAATACAGCCGAATTTAAAGTTTAAGTTGAGCTTCTTACCTCCAGGAAGAACAGCCAGCAAAAAAAATACTCGCTCCATCGTTGGTGTTACGACTAAGGACCGATTTTAATTCACATTTTAACTGTTACCCAACCGGAAAAGGTCCAAATTTCCGACTGGGGTTCAGCTGGAAATTATAGCTGTTTCCAGCCGGGATTTTAAGCAGGGAAGATCGAGGAGGCTCATTCGTGGATCGCGTGATGTAACGGAGTGATGTAACGGAGGAGTGACAGGCGAGACGGAGAAGACGTTGCCACGCCGTCCCGGAAAAGGCTCATTCCACGTCGCCGCAATCTCGCAGCGAGACGAAGTCGAAAACGCTCTCACGCGTCGCGTCGCGTCGCGTCGGCCTTCGAATCGCGAACGCCTTGTCATCGCTTCCCCGATTTCCTTCACGATACGATACGTGATACGATACGATAACGATCGATGGAATGTTCTGCTCCGCCCCCGAGAATTCGAAAGCCGATTGGAAAGTGCGACCGTCCCTCGGCTCGTTCCATTCCGCGAGAATAGAGAAATAGCGTGCTTGGCCTCGACCGTACGGTTTTCCCCTTCGCGATTATCCCCTTCGTGGAATAGTCGGAGCTTAACCCAACACTCTTAGAAGAGAGTGAGCGATTTCCTCAAAGGGAGCAGTTTTACTCCCTAAAAACGAGGAAAATACAAACGATAACTACTCCTTTATATGAGCAGAATCCATAACTGTTTCAAGAGAGCGAAACGAAGGAAGGAGAGATTTCTTTTCAAACCAGCTGGAAAAAAATTAGTGGTTATTCCGAGGAAAGCGAGAGGTGAGCGGGGCTTACTTCCTTGTTTTTAGGGAGGAAAATCGCTAACTCCGGTCTCGCTCCCTTTGAGGAAATCGCTCACTCTTTTCATGGAACATTCCGGGTTTCGGTCTGCATATCCCGAAAGGAGTTTTAGATGTTTTAGATAGGGGAAGACGTTCTCACGACGCCAGATATCGGTTTTATTATTTTGCGACGGATAATAAAGGTGATATAGCCATTTGCTCGGGACCACACGGAGTCAAACGGGAAGCTTCGGCGCGTTTCCTCGGAATTCCAAAAAGCTTTCTCCCCAAGTTCTTTGTGGGAAAAAGATGAGCCACGGTACGAAAAATGCAGGGGACTCGTGGCATCGGGGCGAAAATGGCGGAATCGGCGGCGAGACGCCATCTCGCGTCCATAGCTCCAACCTATTTTCTGCCGAGACGACGAGGAAGACTCCGAAAGCAAATGAGAAAAATGAATTTTGCAATTAATAACCTCCGAACGGCTTCGCCTATTAGTGGTCCATGTCGAAAATGCGGTTAACCACGAATGGTTAATTACATTTCTTTTTTTTTCCAGTGCGGACCCGGCGGGGTCTGACGAGAATAATTTGGCGAGAGTGAAATTCGATTAACGAACTCTCGACGATTTGATGAGTCGATGAAATAAAAGCGAATGCCGAAGTCAGCTGCAACCGAAGAAAGCCAAAAATGAAATCGAGTCTTTTTTTTCCGAATGCGACGAAATGCGACGAAATGCAAAACTCATCCTCGAAGCACGTCCAACTTCTGGACACCCAAAGAAATGAGTCGGATCGATACCACGTGGACGTCGTGACGCGACTCGCACATCGAAATTTCCAGGAAATAAAGGCTATGGGTCCATTCCTAGTACTGTAATTTACGTTCAGGAAGGAAGACATTTATTTTTAATTCTCGAGAGAGCCGAAACGCACTCACAGGACGTAGCATATGACCCCCAGAGACCACATGTCCGTGCCGTATCCGACGGGCTCGAAGTTGACGACCTCGGGCGCCACGAACTCCGGCGTCCCGAAGAGGACCTGGAGCGGCCGAGCGGGGTCGAAGCGGCGGGCGAGCCCGAAGTCGATCAGTTTGATCCGGTTCCCCGTTCGGGTCAGGCAGAGGACGTTCTCCGGCTGCAACGCAACGGTTCGGATCAAATTTTCGGTCGAGCGGGAAGAGAAGCGAGGAAGAAATCGTGGATCGGAAAAAAAAAAAATCCCGCGTCTTGCTTTCTAAGCGAGCGGTCGGCACCGACGGCGGCGAACGACGGATAGAAAAACGCCTCGATCGTCCTTCCCGTCCCATTCGAGCCGCAAGCCCGATCCTCGACCTGCTCTCCTCCGATCTCGCGAAAGCTCTCGCCGACCTTTCACCTCGCGAATTAAGAAAAGTTCGCACGCGATTTCCTACGCGTTCAAAAATAGAACGGCATCGGAGAATCGAGAGCGTTTCCTTCTCCTCGTATTTCTTACCGATGATCTCACCGTAAAGCTCGATCCCGTCCTCGGCCGCCGTCGCCAAGCACCACTTGGCGATCGGCCAAAGAGCGCTTCGTCATCGGCGACAGGCTCACCGGAGAATGTATCAGTCGGGATTTTGCTCCTATTTATTTTTATTCCCTCGGGTGAATTTTTTTTTCATTTTTTTTTTCGAAATTCCCTACGACTCTTAATTATAGTTCGTCGGCGTTTGGGGTCATCTCGGCGTGAAGGAGACGTTTCTAATAGAATTATAATTTTTTTTTTTAAGTTTCGCGGAATGCGAAGAGCCAAGATGTTCGCGTCGTTGCCAGTAACCGTCGGGCTGAAGCGTGGGACCTTTTCTTTTAAGAACACCAGAAGCCTCACAAAAGTTAACAGCCGAAGAAATGACTTTTCTCGCCATGCCAGAAAAAAAAAAATCCTGAAACGGTTTTTAAAATATGCATATTATTTCTTTTGCTGAAATCAGTATGAAATCCTACCGATTCCGAAAAAAAGATTTTGCAGACCAAAACGGGCGTTTGCAAAATTTAGGTTTGAAAGCGTGCAATTCTTTTCTGCGCTCCTGGTCGTTCCAATTTTCGCCAGCAAATCAGGAAAGTCCCAAAAATGACTCGGCAAAATTGACTCGGACGTCGAGAATCTCGTGCGATTTTCCGTGATGGTAAATGAATAAATAAATCTTTCCTCTCTTTTTCCGTGATCCACTTATCTTGCGAGAGAAATCAAACCACGCAGTGTAATCCTTTTTTTTTAATAATAGCGTCTCGGAAGTCTGACCTTCATATCGAGATGAAGGACATTCTTGGAGTGCATGAACTGGACTCCTTCGCAGATCTGCCGCATGAAAATGGCGCACGCCCTTTCCGTCAGCACGAAGTCGTCGTCGATCACCCTTTCGAAGAGTTCGCCTCCTTCGATCCTTCGGAGACGAAAGAAAGAAATTTAAAAAAAAGAGTAGAGAGGATTCCGTTTCGCGAATGGTTGCGATGAGGGTTTTTTTTTCTGATCGTGGATTTCCAGATTGCGTGGCGTTGGGACGGCTTGATCTCGGGAATTACTTTTTAAATCGTGGTTGCAGGGCATATTTTAATGTGCAGTTGTAATAGATAGGTGCAGTTCAAAGCTGGGCAAGATTTACATTTTGAAACAAAAAAATTTGACTTTAAAATGGTGCTAAATCTAAATTTTCTTCCTAAATTTTCGCATTCTGTGGGGGGAGGGGAGCGCCTTATGATTTTTTCCTACAATATGTCGTACTGGAGAAAAACGGGGGGAATGTTTTTCTTTCGACATTCATTCGATGACGAACATCTCCCAAATCCATCGGGTGTGAACGCCCGCTATTGTATAGACAGAAAATTTCGTTCATGAAATTTCATGCGCTAAATTTTCCTTCGTGCGATCCATTCGAGTCGCATGAAAACTCCCAGACCCGGGACCAGTGAGGGACCAGTGAGGGACCAGTGAGGGACCAGCGAGGGGCCAGCGAGGGACCAGCGAGGGACCAGCGAGGGGGCCTTAAGATCCAGAGTCCAACTTATATCTATTTTGAGAAATTCGATGCGGCCGAAATGGAGTTAATTGGACGCGCCGAATCGATTGGGATTCGGGTACCTACAGTTCTAAGATGAGGCACATCTCGTGTTTGCCGTCATCGAAGGCGTCGTAGAGCTGGAGGAGCCTGGGATGCTGGAGCATCCTCATGATCTCCATTTCCCTCTCCACGTCCTTCCGGTCTTCCTTCTTCGTCGTCTTCACGAACTTGGCGGCGAAGGTGAGGCCCGTGGACTTCTCGCGGCATCGGTACACCACGCCGAATTTCCCCCTGGGGCGGGAACAGAGGGAAGCAAGAAGAAGGAAATGCAGTCGGTTGGAGGGACGACGGGGTTGGGGGTGACGACGGGGATGGGGGGGACGACGGGGTTGGGGGTGCCGAGCTTCGGCAGGATTTTCTGCGAGGCCTCGGACCGATTCGTGCGGTTTGCCGAGTTTACAGTTCGAGGTGCGAATTAAGCATTTCCGTTCTGGAGATCGTCGATCCGCCACGATCCACAGCGAGAGACGGGAAGGCGCATCGAAGAGCAGACGACCGTCTAGCCAGGCCCTATCCCGTTGGATCTTCCTCGGCGTCATTTAATGTTTTTCGAACGAAACCCTCATTTGCTTATACTTGGTTTTATAACTCTCCTCGACATTTTATGCGAAATTTGGAAGAAAATTTGAAAAATTATGACTTTCGATAGTTATCGAGAATTTTGATACCGGATGGAAAAAGTCTACCTTTACTTGCATGATGATTTTGACTCGGCCGTAGAACACTGATAATTGTTGGAACTCCCACTCGTCCAAACGGGTGAACTGCCTTCGCTCAGACGCTGCACGGAAAGCGCGCTTCGACTCGACGCTGCCTCGCGACATCCCCTCCCCCTCCCTCCCCCTCCCCCCCCCCCCCCCCCCCCCCCCCCCCGCTCGCTGCCCCGCGCCCCCCCCCCCCCCCCCCCCCCCCTCCCCCCCCCTCCCCCCCCCTCCCCGGGGGGGGCGAGAGCGAAGCCGGGAAAGAAGGAAGGGAGGGATTTTGGGATTCGCGGTGCTGTATCGAAGAGAAATGGAACAACAAAAAAAAAACATTCTGGAAGGCGGATGGTGTGGACAGCGTGCAGTCGTGCGTGCATCTTTCATCGAGCAGGGAAGACGAAAGAAAACGAATCGAGGGAAACACGCGCTGTTGACCGTCGGCAGACATGTTCGGACCCTTCGGGAATTTTTCCGGGAAAGAAAAAGGAAAAGTGGGAAATGCAAACACGTTACGGGCTGGCATTCCCACCGTGCGTCATGCGTTTAGCTCGTTTGGGGGTTTCCGTCTTCGCTCGAAGCATGCCGGACGAAGACACGGACGTTCCCTTCTCCCAGGTAGCACATCGAGATCGAGTCGACACGGATCCGATGTCGTCGGCCGACATCGCTCTGGTGTCGTCGGGCGACATCGCTCTGGTGTCGACGGTCGACATCGCGAACGTCGGGAACGTCGTCCCGGGATCGAAGTGCCTCGCGGCTCGACGTCGGCCCGACCTTTCTCCGACCTTTGATCGACCTTCAGTCGACGTGCTCCCAGAGTTTACACCCAGAATGAATAATGCTTTGCTGAGTCCGGACCTGCCCTTTCGAGCTTGCTCCTTTGCCGTTGCGTGGAATTTTGCCAGGGTGACGTCGAGCGGTTTCCCGAACTTCCCACCAACTTATTTTGACCCGAGAAAGCGAGCAGGACCGCCTGGAATTCCCGAAGGAACACTCTCGTCTCGCCTCTAAGCATCCGCCACGATGAGAATGACTCAAAATTACCTAATTTTACAAATTTGCATTCCATCGTCACTCCAGGCTTTCGAGGCGTCGTTTTCCCGCGTTCGCAAATCCCCATCCATCTACCCTAATCCATTCCAAAAGGAATCCGTGAGACTTCCGGGCACGGCGTCACGCCGAGAGGCCGATCGCGTCGAGCGTGCGGGGCCGTGAGAGGCGTGAACAGAATGCGCGAACCGAGGAAATCCAGCGCCGTTTCGTCCGGATGCACGGCCGACATCGGGCCGATCCCGTATGCCGACCCGACCGATAATAATTAGCAATTAATTATTAATTTTTAATTACCGATACCGATGCATATATTCCAGCTGGATTCCGCTTCCTCGATCGGATGGTTTCTGCATGAGGGACATCGATCCCAAATATCTCCTCGGTTATGCATATTGCATCATAATATATGCATATTGCATAATAATATATGCATTTCATGCAAATCTCCTCTTCGCTTTCATCGATTCCTACATCGAGCGTACTTGCTTCTTAAATGTTTTCTTTAGTTCGTACCAGAAGTGGCAAGGGTGACTGGTTCTCATTTCATAGACTGATCGCAATTTTTATTTTCAAGATTCAAATTTTTTTTTTTTGGTTAAAGCAAGTTTCTCGCGCTACAGATTGAAAGCAATTATCGCGTCGGAAATTCCATTCGCGGCAACAAATAATTTTGCAGGTTGCCAACAAAAGATAATGTTTTCTGCACGTGGTTGCCAGAGCGTGCCAATTTGAGGCAATCTGCAAGCACTCATCGACTCGAGGATGAAGGCCAACCTTGCACGGTCGACCCCGAACGACTCCGAACGACCCTCGAAGGGAGCGATTGTCGACCCGACGTCGAGTGCTACCCGGGCTTCCGCCCGCGGATCCTTCGCGGGATTCCCGACAGATCGCGAAACGATCCCGCCTCCTCTCGATTCGCTTCGAGAATCGAAGGAGACGGAAAAAATGACGGAACCGTGTTAGTGACTCGTGTTCTTTCACCGCATGCAGCAAGAACCGTGCAGCAAGAACCGTGCAGCAAGAACCATGCAGCATGCACCCTTCATGCACCAGCTGAAATGGCCACGTGTGCATTTTCGTCAGCCGCTAAATTTCCGGGTTCCGGGGACTCAAAACTAACGAACGACTCCCTCGGTACTCTACAAAAAAAAAAAAAAACCAGGGTTTTCCTACTCGAACGATTGCCGATCGCTTCGTTCCTCTCGGGAGGAACCTACCTGCCGATCTCTTTTTGCAGGCCGTAGAAGTCCTTGACGCACTGACCGCGTCGGACGACGACGTCTCTATGAGGGAACGAAGGAGGAACCTCTGGAAAGAAAGAAAACGCAGGGAAAATGCAGAGAAAATGCACAGGGACATTCGAGGCGGCAGGCAGGAGGAGCAGGCAAACCCCGGTGAAAAATAAAACCCCGGTGAAAAAAACCCTGTGAATCGTGAGAAGCGGGGGGGAAAAGAATTCACGGTCGAAACTGCAAGCCAAGGAAGCACGCGACGGAAGCGTTATGAACCCAGTTTTAGACGACGGAAGCGTTATGAACCCAGTTTAGACGACGGAAGCGTGTTAAACAAAAAAAAAAAAACGAATGGAATCGAAATGAGTCTCGAAACGATCTTCGGTTTACCTTCCGACAATTTCGCTCAGGTTGTAGAGGTCTCGCACACTCCTATCTTTCTTGATCGCCACGTGCCTATTGTCCTTTATTATTTGCATCAACCTCTCCATCGCTTACGAGTCAAACTTCACATCTCTGAAGTTGAGACTAACTTCTATTGGGCATCAAAATTCAGGCCTAATAAG